CAGAAACATGTTAAAAATACTTCATTGACGGTCTTAGGAAGATTCTGTGTAATCTATCTTCAGGTATTAACATACGCAGGGCGCGTACAGACTAGCACACGCACGCGCTGAGAAACCACGCATATGCGTGCGTACTCAGACCATTCGCGCTCAGAGCATTCTTTGAAATTAGAAATCACCGCATATGTATGCGTGCTCAAGGCTCAAGGCGCTCCATCCATTCGTGAAAAATGTCTGAGGAGCTGCTTATGGTTAGTGCCGCGTTTGTTGTTATTAGTTCATTAAAAAAGAAAAAACAAAGAAAAAATAGGTGATGGTGGACGACGCATTTATTTAAAAGAAAAACTCTACAAATTAAGTCCGATTTACTAGTAGATTTGGCGTTAGAACCTAATACTGGACAATTTCAAACTTTTACACGTATGTCAGTAGAAGACTTTGAACGCCTTTTAAATGATACAGGCCACGTAATAAAGAAAAACGACACAGTCTTAAGAAAAGCCATACCTTTTAAGGAACGTTTACTGATAACATTAAGATTTCTGGCCACATTGAACACTCTGTATTTTTTTGACCCAAGAAAATGTTTTTTTTTATTACCGCTTTAATGATTTAGGTACTAAATTTATATATTTACACTAATTTTTATTTTCAACCGGCATCTTAGAAACCTCGCTAGTCCATTTTTGTTTGCAGCATTCAAAGTTTGACGAAAAAGTAGCACAGGTTCGTTAAAACTGCAATGCTTTATCTTCCATAACAACCGAAATAACCTATAAAAGTGTCCGAATTGGGACACCCTGTACTTACTGTAAAAACACAATACCTTTTGCTGTACCCACGGACTTCTTGCATTTGCTCCTTTGAGCCCTAAAAGACCCAAGTAAGCTGCTAATTTGCTTCTTTACAACTGCTGAATCTATATCAAGATTTCTTGATATAGATCTCCGATGCATCTTCTTTTTTTGTTTTTGAATAATAAAGCTTATTTTTTGGATTCCATAATATAGAGTTTTCTTCATACAAATCTATGAATTGCAAACATTGTTCATTTGACCACTCCATTTTACACATAAATCAATAAAATGAATAAAACTCAATAAATCCGAACTTGTCTTGCAAATCAACAAATCCCCACGCTATCCATTTAAACTGAGCGCGAACGCACACGTATGTTTCTTTAGGCGCGTACAGACCTACAAACGCATGCGGTGAGCAGCCACGAATACACATACGTATGCAAATGTGGACGGCGCTTTCGTAACCTCTCGCCGCATGCGCTGCTTCTCGCGAATGACTTGAGCACACATGCTGTGAGCCAGAGTGGTGTCGGTTTCTTAGCACATATCAAAAGGCGCGTCCAGACTTGCATACGCATGCGGTGAGAAGCCACGCATATGCGTGCGTACTCAAACCATTCGCGCTCAGGGCATTCTTTGAAATTATAAATCACCGCATATGCATGCGTGCTCAAGGCGCTCCATCCATTCGTGACAAAATGTCTGAGGAACTGCGTATGGTTAGTGCCGCGTTTGTGATTATTGGTTCATTGAAAAAGAAAAAACAAAGGAAAAATAGACGATGGTGGACGACGCATTTATTTAATAAAACTCAATAAATATGAACTTGTCTTGCAAATGCAGCAAATCCCCACGCTATCCGTCCAAACTGAGCGTGAACGCTCACGTATGTTTCTTTGATGTGTGCTAAAAAACCGACTTCACGCTGGCTCGTAGCATGTGTGCTCAAGTCATTCGCGAGAAGCAACGCATGCGGCGAGAGGTTACGAAAGCGCCGTCCACATTTGAACACGCACGCATATGCGTGGCTTCTCACCGCATGCGTATGCAAGTCTGGACGCGCCTAAAGAAACATACGTGTGCGTTCGCGCTCAATTTAGACGGATAGCATGGGGATTTGTTGCATTTGCAAGGCAAGTTCAGATTTATTAAGTTTTATTAATTTTATTCATTTATGTGTAAAATGGAGTGGTCAAATGAACAATGTTTAAAATTAATAGATTTGTATGAAGAAAACCCTATATTATGGGATCCAAAAAATAAGTTTTATTATTCAAAAACAAAAAAAGAAGATGCATGAGAGTCGATTTCAAGAAATCTTGATATAGATTCAGCAGCTGTAAAGAAGAAAGTGAGCAGCTTACTTGGGTCTTTTAGGGCTCAATAGAGCAAATGCAAGAAGTCCGTGGGTACAGGAATATGTATAAAAATGGGTTACCAAGGTTTTTGAGATGCTGGTTGAAAATAAAAATTAGCGTATAAATATACGAATGTGGTACACCTTTAAAGCGGTAATAAAAAAACCAATTTTTTGGGACAAAAAAATACAGAGTGTTCCATGTGGCCAGAAATCTTAATGTCGTCAGTAAACGTTCCTTGACAGGTATGGCTTTTCTTAAGAATGTGTCGTCCACCATCGCCTATTTTTCCTTCTTTTTTCTTTTTTAATGAACTAATAACAATGACGCGGCACTAACCATAAGCAGCTTATCAGATTTTTTCATGAATGGATGGAGCGCATTGAGCACGCATACATATGCGGTGATTTCTAATTTCAACGAATGCTCTGAGCGCCAATGGTTTGAGTACGCACGCATATGCGTGGCTTCTCACCGCATGCCAGTGCTAGTCTGTACGCGCTTTTTGATGTGTGTTAAAAAACCGACACCACTATGGCTCGCAGCATGTGTGCTCAAGTCATTCGCGAGAAGCAACGCATGCGGCGAGAGGTTACGAAAGCGCCGTCCACATTTGCACACGTATGTGTATTCGTGGCTGCTCACCGCATGTTTTTGTAGGTCTGTACGCGCCTTAAGAATTCTTAAATTTTACGTCTTTAGTATCCTCTTCTTTAGAGCAGAAACCTGGAGTCTTACTGAAGATGCCATAAAACCGTTAGAATAATTCCAAATGTGGTTAGAATAATTCCAAATACAGACGTATATTAAGGGTTACATATATACACCATATAACTAACATAACTATTCTTAAGATACTAAGAAGAGACAAAGAAACTATTAACACTCGTATTATTCTGTCCACTTTGCCCATTTTACGTAGATGTGATCTGAGTAAACAATGGTCTATAAGAACACCTGTGATTACTTAGCGAGTTCAGTTTTCTAATGTTCTAAGAGTATTATTGCGTAGCAAGCAGAAGGTAATCACCTTTTTGGTTGCCTTTGGCTTGAATCAACCTCAGTTTTAAAAGTGCATCGTGAATATCAGAAACAATAAATATTTTGGCCAAGTTAATATATATGTTCTATTATTCTTATCGAAATCCTGTTTTACTGCCATAATTTTTGTAAAGATCTTCATGGATAGTTTTATTCCAACCCTTAGATCATCCAGATGTCGGGTCAAATCAGCTTAAGCCTAAATGTATATTGAAGAGTGATCCCCTCCTTACATATATTTAGGGGGTATAGTTTAGCATTAGTTTCAGCACCTCTAAGGCTGCTGTGTGGCACAATCTTAATAAACTAATGAATTCTATACCAGCGACTCTTTACACTTGTAGTTGTAAACTTAAAATTATTCTATGACTTCGATTGTTTTGCTTTTAAGTATTAAGCATTGTATATTATGGCGTACAAGTGTGGATTTTAAATTATGTCACGTGTATAAAAATGGAGGTATTTGAGATATGCAGTTAGCTTTGCACGTTTTGATTCTCATGGATAGATATAATAGGTAATATAGAAAGAAAGAGAGCTACAAATCGGAGGTGTATTTTCTGGGCAAAAATCATTGTCAATGATCATTATCTACTAATTTACACGTTATTTACTGACAGGACATTTCGCTGTCTACAAGCGGCGATAGAATACTGCTAGGGCCCTTCTCCCTGCCTATCGTAAAAGGCGACTCATAAGAAGAAACGAGAGCTGCAGGTCTGTCGTTTAAGGTGTTAGGTTGTTCGCAGCAATGGACGAAAGGCGTTTAGGCATTTTGATCACCGATTTTCGCTCTTAGTATCCCAGATGAGCTCTCATGGGACCACTTTTCTCTCAATCTACACAACTAAAGTAAGGTTAAATGAACTGCAAACTCTACATGTTCTACACATAACCTTGCGAGGTCAGGACCTTATTCATACCTACGTTCACCTGCTCGCACGTAGTTGAGATAACGGACGGGAGTGCATGTAGCAACAGAGGGTCTACGGGGAGCGTGACATGGTACAATGGATTCGCTTACGGTCATTTGCCGAAATGTCAAGAGGAAAAGGGTAACGCCCTTACGCTTTCGCGAAAGAGGGTTGACACGAAAAAAACATGATATGCCACATCGCGGCGCAACAAGAAAGAAGTTCATTGTTACAATATCCAACAAGTTCTGTGTTTTAAATTAGTGCTGTTTATTTGCTTGTTTTAAACCTAGTAAAAATTTTCTTATTCACAAGGTATTTTATAATAACAACATATCCTTGCTTGTACATTGCAATATTCAGCTACAGCTACGATTAATGGTTATTAGTAGTAACAATAAAATAAATAAAAATATAAAAAAACATTCTGCTTATGGTACCTATTGATAATAGAGATGTAATTAGAGTGTAATAAGTATAGGCCTTAGGAATAGGTTTGTAGTGAGTAATATTTAAAAAGCTCTATTGCTTAAAAAACAATGAAAAAGTATCCTTAATATTTTTAAATAAAACTTTTTTTTAATAAATCTATGTTAACTGGTTATTAAATAGTATACTGAAAAATGATAGGTGGATTAAGAGAATGATTAATTTATGCGGCAATACTTCAATGGAAATTTGTTGGTCATATTCTGAGTCAGAACGATGGTAGTAGATAATTAAAGACTAAATTCTCAGGATACAGGAGAATGACAAACTGGAACTTTTTTGGCTCAAAGAAGGAAGTTTATGGCTGTTCGATACAAAATTATTGATAACAAAGATGAATACTTCTAACAATTTGACATATCTTGTGTACATATTTGTATATAAAATTTTAGTCTCACCTGTAGAGCCTCCAGTAGTCACTAAGATATTTACTTCTAATTTGGAACTCATCTGTATACTTCTTATCGGCTCTTTCCAACCAAGGATGTCTTAAAGCAGCCCTTATATCCATCCTGCCCTCAGCATCGTACACCAACAACTTGCTGATAAAATCTCTAGCTTCGAGGCTAATCTTAGACCACCATTCATCATAGAAACTCCATCTTCCTTCCCTAATGTTGGTTAGGGTTTCTCTGTCGTTTTCTCCTCTAAATGGTGACCTTCCTGATAGAAGTATGTAAGTGATGATACCTACGCTCCACATGTCTTGACCATAACCAACACCATCGCCATTGGCCACCTCAGGGCTGACGTATTCCGGCATGCCGTATTTTAGGGGGTAGAAATTGCCATGTTGAATTCTTCTGGAGAGACTGAAGTCTGTTATCTTCAGGTCGTCACCGCCTGGATGGGAAATAAGGAGATCTCCCAACTAAAAAATATGTAAGGCATTTAATATAACTGATCGTTTTGGTACTTTTGTTGTAGTACTTACGTTAAGGCCCATGTGTGCGTAGCCTCTGTCGTGCATGTAGTCCAGGCCCTGAAGCAGCTGTCTGATGAATCCAGCAATATCGCTTTCTGTGTAATAATCCATCTTTAAGAGATAATCTCTAACCAGTTCTCCCCCGGAAGCTAGTTCTAAGATTAGTGCCAATGAATCTTCGGTTTCATATGCTTCGTGCAACGAGATCAGCTTCTTATGACGCAGCTCATTGAGCATGTCTAGTTCATTATACATGAATGGTCTGAAATCGCCACTTCCGTACATTACTTTAGCAGCATAATTGCGACCTAAATATTATTAAAAAAGTAAGAGTGTGATATTTACAAAAATATAATAAAAAATAAAAATGCTCATATATAATATAGTTTGACATTTAGTATTTTCAATCTAACACATATCGTATAACTTTATTAAATGCTCTTTACCATTTAGTCTTTCAACAGCGTGTGATGTAATTCCTTGAGTACCACGTCCCAATTCATCACCGATATCGTAGAAGTCGGTGTAAATACGTTTCTTGGTCTTGATTGGAGTTAGGTTGGAGTAGTTTCTCATCTTGTACTCATGCTCGTTCTCCTCAACATACAACATAGCACTAGCGGACGTAGAACCTGCTACATTGCGGGCGCCCACTGAGTACAAGCCTTCATCTTTCAGAATGATATCGTGGATTGTTAATACTGTTATATCAGGTTCGATGAATGCAATCTAAAAAATACAAAAGTATAATGTTACATAAAAAACTCATGTACAAGCACTATCAAAGTAAGACAATGCCACAAAATGAAGAACATTGAAAATCATCGTGAAAGTCGTTGTTTTTATTTGAAGGTCATTTTTAATTTTGGAATAAGATCTTATAGGCGAGGGGAATGAAGTAATTAACGTAGCAATGTTTTGCAGAGATGGATCTCAATCAAACTTATTGTATTTGACTCCTAAGAGCTTTAGTAAATTTTGTGAACTGAAATGATATTGTCGAAATGGAAGTTGCATTATTGAATAAGAAAAATGCATTTCCCAAATTTTATTTCAAAGTGATGAAAAATGATAAATACGTAATTCGGAATTAATGAACGGAAATAAGTTCAATATGACTACTATAGGGTTTTTGGGATCGCTGAATATGAATATCATGACGGCGATAATCGCCGGAGCCTCTGGTGGTAAAGATGGGCCTCCTATTCTGGAGGTTTCTAGAAATTCGATACAAAATTAGTGCAAACTCGTTACTCGTGTTTTTTGGGGTCGCTAAATACAATTATCATGTCTCCGAGGCATTTGGTGCCTAGGACTGGACTCGTCTCTTGGAGTTTTATGGAGATTCGATACAAAATCAGTTGAAATCAGTTCAAACTCGTTAGTCGGAATTTTTTTGGGATTGCTAAACAGGAATACCAAGCTGTCAGGTTACACAGTAAACAAATATTAATTTTTATTTTTTATTATAAAATTTATAACCTATTTTACTACTTAATTTATACACTGTCCAAATAAGAAACGAAGAAATATATGTCCAAATAAGAAACGAAGTAAACGCCAGAATAAAATCAATCAAAGAGAACATTGGGCCAAATTTACTTGCGACATGGACTACGACCTATATGGTGCCCAAAAGAAAGTATGGAAAATGCTCCGCAACAGGAAAAAACCAGTTAACGAGTTCGTGCAGACCAAAGGAGTACCTATAGAGGCATGGCAACAGCATTTTAAAGAGCTATATGATGCTGAAGAAACGCTGAATATAAACGAAAGCGAAACATATGTGAGTGCTACAATCAATGACGAAGAAGTAGAAGCAAAGATCAAAAAGCTAAAAAACAGAAAATCACCGTAACGGATGGTATACCAAATGAACTTTTAAAATATGGAGGCCCGGAACTTGCAAGTAAACTGGCACAACTATTTTACAAAATATTAAACAAAACAGAAACACCAGAGGAATGGCATAATAGTATCACAATCCCCATATTTAAAAAAGGACAAAAAACCTGCCCACAAAACTATAGAGGAATAACCCTCTTAAATACAACAATGAAACTTTTCACGGGTATTCTCAAGGACAAATTGGAAAAGCAAATCACTAATGCTGAAGAACAACAAGGTTTTACAAAAGGGCGGTCTATAACAGACGCAGTATTTATAATAAAACAAATAAAAGAAAAAGCTATAGAGTTCGGCATGCCAGCGTATATTTGCTTCATTGATTTGACGAAGGCATTTGACAGAGTTCGCCTGGGAGACATTCTAAATATATTAATAGAAAATTGAAACACCGACCAGTATAACAAAGATACTCCATAACCTAAATAACAACAACGTAACCAAAGTTAGAGCAGGAGACGAATTCACTGAAAATATTCCAACACCGGGAGGAATTAGACAAGGCGACAGTCTACGCCCCTTCTTGTTTAATCTTCTCATGGGCAAAATTATCAACAAAGTAACAACTCTTAATCTCGGATATAGAATGGGCAACAAAAAAATTGGTATGGTGTGTTACGCAGACGATGCAGCAATTATTGCCGAATCAGAAGATGATCTCCAAAGGCAGCTCTTTCAGTTCTTTTAAACAAGCCGACTACTAAATATGGACATCTCTACCAACAAAACTAAATGTATGACAATAGCAAAAGATCCGCTCAGAGGTAAGTTAGTGGTTGAGGACAACCCCATAGAACAGGTGATGCAATTCAGATATCTGGGCATAGATGTATCAATGTCGGAATTTTTTTGGGATTGCTAAACAGGAATACCAAGCTGTCAGGTTACACAGTAAACAAATATTAATTTTTATTTTTTATTATAAAATTTATAACCTATTTTACTACTTAATTTATACACTGTCCAAATAAGAAACGAAGAAATATATGTCCAAATAAGAAACGAAGTAAACGCCAGAATAAAATCAATCAAAAGAGAACATTGGGCCAAATTTACTTGCGACATGGACTACGACCTATATGGTGCCCAAAAGAAAGTATGGAAAATGCTCCGCAACAGGAAAAAACCAGTTAACGAGTTCGTGCAGACCAAAGGAGTACCTATAGAAGCATGGCAACAGCATTTTAAAGAGCTATATGATGCTGAAGAAACGCTGAATATAAACGAAAGCGAAACATATGTGAGTGCTACAATCAATGACGAAGAAGTAGAAGCAAAGATCAAAAAGCTAAAAAACAGAAAATCACCGGTAACGGATGGTATACCAAATGAACTTTTAAAATATGGAGGCCCGGAACTTGCAAGTAAACTGGCACAACTATTTTACAAAATATTAAACAAAACAGAAACACCAGAGGAATGGCATAATAGTATCACAATCCCCATATTTAAAAAAGGACAAAAAACCTGCCCACAAAACTATAGAGGAATAACCCTCTTAAATACAACAATGAAACTTTTCACGGGTATTCTCAAGGACAAATTGGAAAAAGCAAATCACTAATGCTGAAGAACAACAAGGTTTTACAAAAGGGCGGTCTATAACAGACGCAGTATTTATAATAAAACAAATAAAAGAAAAAGCTATAGAGTTCGGCATGCCAGCGTATATTTGCTTCATTGATTTGACGAAGGCATTTGACAGAGTTCGCCTGGGAGACATTCTAAATATATTAATAGAAAATGAAACACCGACCAGTATAACAAAGATACTCCATAACCTAAATAACAACAACGTAACCAAAGTTAGAGCAGGAGACGAATTCACTGAAAATATTCCAACACCGGGAGGAATTAGACAAGGCGACAGTCTACGCCCCTTCTTGTTTAATCTTCTCATGGGCAAAATTATCAACAAAGTAACAACTCTTAATCTCGGATATAGAATGGGCAACAAAAAAATTGGTATGGTGTGTTACGCAGACGATGCAGCAATTATTGCCGAATCAGAAGATGATCTCCAAAGGCAGCTCTTTCAGTTCTTTTAAACAAGCCGACTACTAAATATGGACATCTCTACCAACAAAACTAAATGTATGACAATAGCAAAAGATCCGCTCAGAGGTAAGTTAGTGGTTGAGGACAACCCCATAGAACAGGTGATGCAATTCAGATATCTGGGCATAGATGTATCAAGTACCCACGACCCAGTAAAGGACCTGAGGAGTCAGATCAACAAAGCATCTGCACTGTCAGGATGTCTGCGGGAGATAGTCTGGTCAAATCCGTATATGCACACAGATAGTAAAATTAGAATCTATAAGACTTGCATACGACCGATCATGACATATGGCATAGAAGTGCGCGAAGATACCAACAAAACGAAACAGATGCTAAGGGTTGCCGAAATGAAAACCCTAAGAACAATAATGGGGAAAACAAGAAGAGACAGAGTGAGAAATACGAACATTAGAGAGCAGTGCAAAATTCAAGATATTGTAAGATGGGGAAGGCAGCGCAAGAGGATGTGGTACAACCATGTAAGACGAATGGATGACCACCTAAAAGATGGAGGGATAGTTGGCAATCTACCTCCCAAGAAATTAACCAGAGGCAGCTTCAGAAAGTAGAAGAAGAATTTATACACTATATATACACAAAACACATATAAAGTTACAACTTTAATAATTTTGAAAATTAAAGTATAAAGACTCTGGAACTTTCTTCAATATCTAAACTCTCCAAAATACTTAATATTATAAAATTGATTCGTCTTCTAACAGTCAAAGAGTAAATATTATTTTTTCACAAAACTAACTAAAAAAATTATTCAGACTTATACACTACTACTATGTTATTAAATTAAATATTAAGAATATTTAGCGCACATAACGAAAAAAAAAGCGTGTGTTACGTTACTCAAGATAGCCACTTAAAGTTAAAAAACGTGTGCAGTAAGACTGTGGGACAGATAGTATCACTTTGAGAATGCTACCAACTGCATTAAAATGACCAAATTTTAAAAAGAATGTTTAGAATATTTTTTTAATATTCGATAATGGTTATGAAGATAATGTTGGTATAAGGATTAATAATGAATTATTGTTCAAGATACCCAAGTAATACAATTTAATAGTTGATAATGCTTATGACAATAATATTGGTATCTCTAGGAGTATTAATAATGAATTATTGTTCAAGATACCCAAGTAACACGTTTTTACTGATTTTGTACATAATTATTATAAAACTCCAGGAGACGGGTTCCTTACGAGGTGAACCCTGAGTATCTACCACAGAAACCATCGCCGTCATAATATTCATGTCCAACAATCCCAAAAACCCCCAAATAACGGATTTGCACTGATTTTGTATCTCTTTTCCATAAAACTCCAGGAGATGACACCCGTCCTGGGTACCAGGTACCTCAGCTACCCCAAAAACCCTTGAGTAACAAGTTGCCTGATTGTGTATCGAATTTCTATAAAACTACAGTAGTCGAGCTCTATCTTGGGCAACAAGTACCTCGGAGAGAATCGCTTTATACTATTCGTGTTCAGCGACCCCAAAAACACCTAAGTAACGATTTTGCACTAATTTGTATAGAATTTCTACAAAACTTCAGGAGACTGGGCCCAGGTGCGCCAGGTACCTTGGAGACAATCGCCGTCATGATATTGGTATTCAGTGACCCCAAAACCCCCAAGTAGTAATATTGAATTTATTTCCGTCAACTTTTTCTGAATTACAATTTTCTTCTTCAGTAATGGAATTTTCATTTCTACATTATCACTTTAGTTCACAGAATTTATTTGACCTTACGAATCGAATGCAACAAGTTCTATCGAGATCCATACAACTGCAAAAAATTGGTAGGTTTTGGGCTTTTTACTGCTTCGTTTCCTCGCCTATTACTAGACTGTTGTTTGGCATACTAGTTATTTATATTCCCCTTCGCTTGTTGGGTTATTTTACACCTGTTGCATCATTAAATGTGCTCTGTTTTTTCTCTCTATTTTAATCTGTTTTTCGTCAAAAACGTCATTCGTTCTTTTTCTTCTTTGTTTACCTTTAATGCCTAGTAACTCTTTAGATGCTTCTTTCATGATGTTTCTGCACCCTTTCCACTCTTCATTTATGTTTTCTGGTTTTAGTCTGTTTTTAGTTTGATGTTTATATTTTGTTTATATTATTTATTTTTGTTTGTATTTTTAAGTCCATATACATTGTATCGTTCATGTTTAGAACCTATTTCTTTTTTTAAACGTTTAAAATTTTGGCCCTAACCCTACTTTAGATCCAGTAGTGATCAGAACCTACATTTGCTCTTCTTCTGGTGCGAACGTTTATTATATTGGATTGGTGTCTTGAGTCTAGAATAGAATAGAATGATCTATCATTCATTCGTCATAATTCGTCGACACAAGAAAACCGGTTAACTCCAATCTCCAAAGCAGGTATCTCACTGGTCAAAAAATTATTTTTGTAAAACACGTAACTCCGCGCATTTTCTGTTAAGTCTGTTACGTGATTATTGCCGTTGAAATGATTTGTTGTTTTGGAACATGCTTTTAATAAGTTCTGGACATGTACATGGGCAGAAAAGAGAATTTATATAAAAACGTTGGTAGTATTTGAAGCACCAAAACGGAAGAGCGATAGAAAAAAAAAGTTTTTGTCAACTCTGGGCCTTAAAGATTGGTTTGTTATGAATTGCAAACAAGAAGATAATTCTGCTATTACAGAAAATTTGTATATTGAACCACAACAAGCGCCTAAAGGACTTCACAAGAAGGAGCTGGACAATCTTTATAATTTTTTAGATAGCCTGCCGAAAATGGAATCGCATTATTGCAGGCAATCAACTAGTAAATTATATCTAGAACCATTATGGCAAAGCAAATGTCAACTTCACCATGTTTACAAAAACGAATGGTACCTAAAAAACAAATTAACAGTCTATCTTTTTCTTCTTTTTGAAAAACGCTTTTCTGGAAAAGAGGTTGATTTTGTATAGATCCAAAAAAGATTTGTGTGAAATATGTGTCTCTTTTAAAACAGGAAATCTTGACCAAGAAACATTTAGGGAACATCAGTTGAAAAAGCAAGAGGCAAGAGTTGAGAAAATTAAAGATAAAAACAGTGAAAGCATTGTATTGACAATAGATTTACAGGCAATCTTTGTATGTCATAAGACCAATGTTTCTTCCCTATATTATATAAAAAAGTTGACAATCCACAATTTCACATTCTATAACTTACACACAAAACAAGGACATTGTTTTCTTTGGGATGAGTTGGAGGGGAATCTTACCAGTGCCGAATTTGCTAGTGTGATCGTAAGTATTTTAGAAAAATATACTGAAGGGAGTTGTCTTGAGGAAAACGTACGTGAAATAATTCTTTTTAGCGATGAATGTACTTTTCAAAATCGTAATGTTACTCTAGCTAATGCAATTTTAAACTTCTGTTTAAAGCAGAAGGTAACAGTTATATAAAAATACCTTGAGAAAAGGCACACCCAAATGGAGGATACGCACACCCGACATGATGCACAGTGCAATTGAGAGGATGCGATATTAATGTGCCGGTGATTGAACACAAATATGCAAAAGGAAAATCCGTTTGTAGTAACTCGACTATACCATGATTTTTTTAAGGACTTCAGAGCAGTAAACTATGTAAGCAGAATCCGACCGGGTAAAAAAAGGGTGCAGTTGTGACTAATATTAGAGCTACAAAATATTCACCACAAGGTATTCATTACAAGTTGGGATTTGGTGAAAACTGGATTAAACTGCCTTGTTGAATAAATCAGAATATGATATCCAAGAATTTCGCAGATCTGCCGAAGCTTTACACAAATAGAATACCATTAAAAAAAGACAAATTCGAACATTTGCACTATTTAAAAAATACCCTTGATTTCGATTACCACTCATTTTATGAGAATCTCCCTCACTAACATTGGTATTTTAGGTCCTATCACATCACTGTTGTACAACACTTGTTTTTGTACATATGTACCTATGCGATATTATTTTAAATTAAAATTTTATTTATTGTTGTTGAAAAGTGAGGCTATGTTTCATTTCTAACGTAGGTACTTAAATAACACTAAATTTTATGTTAAACCTTTTACAAAAGTATTGGTCTGTATTTCATTATTAGGATATTTTTTATGTGTGTCAGATAATATGATTTTATAAATCGATAACCAATGCTTTTTATTAATTTTTTCCAATCCAGCGTTACAAAGAATGCCACGTAACTCCGTAGGCAAGTCTCATTATAAAAGAAGAAAAACCTGTAACTCCAAATTTTCTGTATTTTTAGCTATATCCGCTAGTTTTTGAAATTAAAATTGATATAATTCAGCTTAATATGACTTAAAAACTCAAAATATAGTTGTTTAATCGTTCTTCTTTATCAAATAAAAGATATCCGTGAAAATGTTACTGTTTTTAGGCTCTCTTGAAAAATTAAGGAAAATGGAGTTACGAGTTTTTCTTGTGTTGACGACAATATATCTATTCATTTACTGTATGTCTGTTTGGTGATTTTGAAGTGCCTTTGTGTATATGTTTTCGAGCGAAGCTAAAATTATACTATCGATTCCAGAAGTCACTTTTGAAATCAGAGCATGAAAAATATTTAAAATTCGATATTTCTCAAACAAATTTTTTCATTTTGTTGAGCTGTGTTACCATTCCTAGTCCACACCATGCAAGTTAAACGTCTACTTTGTAATCCAGTTCTTCCGTTAAAAAAATTTTAGTTTTTTATTGACTTTTATAAAATGAAAGTATTTGCTTCGTTGTGTAGTTGCAATCTGCTGATTCAGCTGTTGATTCATTTGTTGTGTCTTTATTTTGCTGTGTAAATACATTTTTCACATAATGTCAAATAACATAGAGGATGATCTAAAATCGATCGGAGTTAAAGCATGGAGAAGAAAGAGTTGCCAAAGACAGGGGCGAATGGAAAATTGTTCTGAAGAAGGCTTTGGCTCATGACGAGCTGTAATGCCACTGATGATGACGATGATAGTTCCCAATTACTTTGGCCATGCATAGTGTCTTACTTAATTTCATAAAGCCTAATATACCGGATGTATAGACCCTAGTAATCCCAAAAACCACCGAGGAATGACTGTCCACTTGTTTCGAATGAAAATAACATAAAACTCTAGAAGACTCGTAGCTCGAGAACCATCGTCATTATGATATTCGTATTCATCAACCTCTAAAACCCTTGACCAACAAAACTGAACTCATTTCTGTCGATATTTTCCGAGTTGCAAATTTTTCATTTTATGTGCACTTTGAATTTTATTCAAAAGTGCTTCGTTGACTCATCTACTTGTAAGTCGTCTCTTTATCTAATATTATATCATTTTGTTATTCTTGTTGTCAAGTGTTTTTATTTTTATTTACACTTGGACATATGGGCTCGAAATATTATTTACATTATCACAGATTAATAGTGTGTTCTGTTAATCTGTGGTATTATTGATTGGAGAAGTATGAAGAACAAAGTAGAAATTAATAAATATATCGATTACCTATTAAAACGGCACCAGTGGTTACATTCATTGTGACAAAGAAATCCATACAAAAAGTTGATACTAATTCAAGCTATTAGATTTAAATAAAAATTCTTTATTTACCTTAATCCTGCTTGATGGTGCCAAAGGTTTCCAGTCTTTGTACCATTTAATTTCCGGATATGGTACACCGATGATTCTAGCTTCGAATTTGGATTTACCTCTTAGCATGGAATAATCAATTTCTGGTCTCCTAATAAAGTAGGGTAGTTCGGCAATTTCCAAACGTACTCTTTGGCGTGCTTCTCCATGTTCATTTCTCGCCACTGCTTCGTAGCAGCCTGCATCCCTCTCCAACATCCTGAAAAAAATGGAGTAATAGTGTTGATTGAATATCCGAATACTGGGATATTCAATCAACGGTAATAAAAAGAAGATTTCATTTGTTTAGAGCTCCAATGCCAGGAGAGTTCCTTATTGTAAAATAAGCATAAAGCAATACACACACACACACAGTTAGTATTCACGCACGCGTATACACATGCGAACATATAGACATATTTAGACACTTTTACTAAGATAGGTAAGTGTGGCGACATACACACAATCACACGTATACATAAAATACACTCTGATGCACACAGATAATGAACATAATATTTTTATGGGTTAAAGCTAGTTATTAGATATTTTGTTGCCATGCATTATTTATTATTCATTATATTTTTACTAAGCATTATATTTGCATTTAAAGCCAAAAAGCTACTAAATTAGGCACTATTAAAGCCAAAGCATAAATTCCAACATACTTATTAATAAACAACGTAGCCTGCCCATTTCTAGTGTAGCTCATATCGAATCGACCTCCAGGTTCAATAAGTTCGTCGTTAAAGTAATAAGTCATCTTCGGTTTTGGATATCCGTACACGTACCAGAACAGGTTAGTATTCTGGTCTTTGACACCGTATTGAGTGTCGTGTTCTTGGCGCAAGAATCTCGGAGCTTGGGCCATGCCATCGTGGGGAGGTCTTTCGATATCGAAGTCTTTGGGGAAGTAGGGAGATGTTTCTGGGCGGAAATCGATCTCGGGAGGAAGGTAGGGCCGGTATTTGGGCAGGTCTGGCTCTAACTTTTCCCTAAAACAAGAATAAATACATGGCAACAAGATATATTAGTATGACGAAGAAATAAATTATATAAGATATCGTATACCTGCTTTAAAGTTTCTAAAAATTACTAAGTAGCCATGTAGGTCGTTTAAATAATTTTCGGACGTTTAAACTTTTAATAATATTAAAAAATAATTATCGACTAATTTTATGAGACGAGTATATATGAAACTTAAATAGCGGCAATGGCCACTAATTGGAGGTATTCTTCTTCTTATGGTGCCCTATCCAATTAGTGGATGTTGGCAACAATTCTGGAATACTTCTCTCGATCTTGTGTGGCTCTTAAAAGTGCATGGGCATCGATATTTGTCCAATCCTTTATGTTTTTAAGCCATGAGTATTTCTTTCTTCCGATGCCTCGTTTTCCTTCTATCTTCCCTTTCATAATAAGCTTTAAGAACTGGTACTTGAAACTTTGAAATATATGACCCAGATAAACAGTTTTTCTTCTATTTATTATTGGCAGCAATTCTCGTTCTCTGCCCATTCGATTTAATACTTCGACATTTGTTGTGTGATCTGTGCAGGGAATTTTAAGTAGTCGTCTAAATACCCACATTTCAAAGGCCTCCAATCGGTTCATCACATTGGCCTTTATGGTCCAGATTTCTACACCATATAGCAATATGGAGTAAATGTAACATTTTACTAAGCGATATCGAAGCATTAAGTTGAGGCCGCTGTTGCTTAGCAAGGCTCTCATATTAGTAAATGCTGTTCTGGCTTGCTCAATCCTGCTACGTATCTCTATGTCTGGATCTAGATCTTCAGTTATCCAACTACCGAGATATCTGAACTTGGGGACCTTTTGGATGTTCTTTTTATTTACTCTTATATTCAATTGCATATTTCGTGTTCTACTAACCACCATTACCTTCGTCTTGTCTATATTAATCTTCAAGCCCACTCGTTCTCCTTCAGTGTTTATTCTATCTATTAGTCGTTGTAGCGCTTCTTCGCTATCAGCTATTATGACTGTATCATCAGCATAGCGAAGATTACTAATAGTCTGTCCGTTGATTTTGATTCCATCTTCAGTGTCACTTAAGGCTCTATCGAAAATCGTTTCAGAGTAAAGATTAAAAAGGAGGGGTGACAGAACACAACCCTGTCGTACCCCTTTTTCGATTGAGAAATATGATGTAGATTCCAGTCCTACTCTCACAGATGCCACTTGATTCATAAAAATGATTTGAAGGTCATTCTCATCTATCGAACGTTCCTGGAGCAATCTTATTAGGTAGATAATACCTGGAGGTAATATCTGGAGGTATTAAATGGAGATATTAACCATACATGGAATCATAAGTTTTATCAATACTTTCGGATATGTTAAATAAATTGTGTCGTATATATATTTAAAATTAAATAATGTATCAAAGTTCAATAAGCTGTTTTGAATCTGTTAAGTAACAGAACTCTCTGGTTATGAAATGAGTCCAGTCAAGGTGTCAACAGCGACTTTACCATTTCCAATATCTAACAACTTCTTCGAAAATACAATTGCACCTTGATCTTGTTGCATGGTATTTCTCCATTGGAGCGTTTTTACATGCCGCCACAAATTGGATGATGTTAGGCATTAATTATAAAATAAGGAACAGTCTGACCAAATGTTTTTAATTGTCACGAACATCTTTCAAAGTTATGTCCAGTCTCGTCTTTCAAATACTTCTTGTGGGCCAATGTATATTCATCAAAAACGATTAATTTGCATACCTGTAAAAGCTTCGGCATTGCTCTATTTTCAGCGATGTTGCAATCTGGGGTTTCATTATTGTGTATGTTTAATGGTAATTTCAAAGAAAAGTCCATGTCACATTCGTCCGGCTTCTAATAAAGTTAGAGATATTCCAGACAAAGCCAACGCTAGGGCTACTGCGATCTGATCCTTGCCAATAGCAATAAAATTAGTAATGTTTTTCTTTCCATCCCGGAGCATAAGGGTCAAATTTAAGATTTAATTTTAATATATATTTTGTTTAATTTTATTTTATTGTATTTTATTTTACTCTATTTTTTTCTATTTTAATCCGTTTTAATCTGCTTTATTATATTTTATTTTAATTTTATTTTATTCTACTTTATTTCATTTTATTCGAATTTATTATATTTTAATTTATTTAATTTAATTTTATTCTATGTTCTTCTATTTAATTCTATTCTATTTTGTTTTATTCCATTAAACTTTATTTTCATGTATTTTATTTTACTTATTTGATTTTATGTCCCATTATTTTATTTTACTCTATTTTATTTAATTTTAATTTTAATTTTACTTAATTCTATTTTGTTTTCTATTCTAGTTAGCTTCTGACTTCTCGCTGAATTTAAAATCTAGTCGTTGTTCATTCTCTAGGTGAACAGCCAAACTTCATCGTTATTATTTGGAGCCGCAAATCTATATCATCATCATCATTCTCAGCATATTCCACCAATTATGATGCAGCCTCCCTTACATATTCATTCTTCATTTCATTGTTTCCCTATGTCATAGTCCTATCTTAAATTGGAACGTGTTCTTGATGTCTTGACGCCTCTTGGATACCACAGTGTAATTCTAGTGGACTACCTATTATCAGTTCTTCTTGCTAAATGTCCCACTCACTGCCATTTTGAAGATTTAATTCTATGGATTACATCAGTAACCTTGGTTTTCTGTCAAATCCATTCTATTCCTTTTCGATCACTCTTTGTTATACCCAGCATGCATCGCTCCATTCACCTTTGAGTGACTTTGAGTTTCGATATTATCTCTTTCTTTATTGTTTCGCAGCCGTATGTCATGATTGGTAGTATACACTGATCGAATGCTTTTTTCTTCAGGTGGATTCCCAAGCCAGTTTTATTCTTCTGTTGATTTCTGGAAGTAATTGTCCCAGGTATACATACTCGTCTACTGTCTCAAGTGCAGTGTTGTTTATTATTATATCTTGGACATCCACTAGCTCTTTGTACATGGCTTTTATTTTTGTCAAGTTCATTTTTAGGCAAACTGTATTGCTAGCTGTATTTAGGTCGCTTATAAGTTCTGGTAGTTTTGCAGGATTATTAGCAATCAGAACGATGTCGTCTGCAAATCTCAGATGGCTGAGCTATTCTTCATCGATGGATATTCCTTTGTTCTGCCAGTTCATTTTACTGCATATATTTTAGTTTTAACTTATTTAGAGCTATCTTCTTTCGGTGCCTTATCCTTAAGGACGTTGGCCATTACATTTGCCCATTTAATCTTATTTGTAGCAGCCCTGAATAGTTCTATGGAGGTCATGTTCGTCCATTGCCGTAGGTTTTTAAGCCAGGAGTTGCGTCTTCTTCCTGGTCCTCTTTTGCTATTGACTTTGCCTTCGATTATATATTGGAGCAGTTCATACTTCTGATTTCTTATGATGTGACCAAAATATTGTGTTTTCCGTTCTTTTATTATAAGCATAAGCTCTCTTTCCTTATTCATCCTCCGCAAGACTTCCGCATTTGTCGTATGGCTCATGTAGGATATTCTGAGCATTTTAAGGTAACACCAGAGTTCGAATGCTTGGATTCTTTTTTGTGTTGCTTATGTCATTGTCCAGGCTTCAACACCATAGAGCAAAGTGGAGAAAACATAGCACTTAAGTATTCTAGTTCTCAATGAGATGCCCAGCTGGCGGTTGCATAAAACTTTTTGCATTTTGTAAAACATTGTACGTGACTTTTCCAGGCGTATTCTTATCTCTAGTGAGTGGTCCCAAGTTTCATCAAGATTATTTCCAAGGTACGTTGTTCTTGTTACTCTTTCCAGATCTGTTCCGTCGACATTGACCTTCACCCTTCTGATTCGGTGCTTGCTGATGACCATCGTTTTTGTCTTCTTTGTGTTCAATTTCATTCCAAATTCTCTAAAGGCTGTCGTTACTCGGTCCATTAAGCGTTGCAGGGCTTCAGCATTATCTACCAGTATGACAGTGTCATCAGCATATCGCAGGTTATTTATACATTGCCCGTTTATAATTATACCATCCGAGGTGCCTTCCAAAGCTTTCTGAAATATCTTCTCAGAGAAAACATTGAACAGCAAAGGTGATAGGACACATCCCTGTCTTACTCCCTTCTTGATATTGATTTTTCCAGATGTTTCGCTTTTTATTCTGATTTTAGCCTTTTATTCTTGGTAGAGGTTTGAAATGATCATCAAGCCTTTATCGTCGATATTACATGACCTTAAAATATCTATTAGTTTATCATGTTTCACCAGGTTAAACGCCTTCTGAAAGTCTATAAAACACAAGTGTACATCAGAATCGACATCTCTACATCTTTCAACTAGCACACGTATTGAAAAAAGTGCTTCTCTTGTTCCGAACCCATTCTTAAAACCAAACTGAGTTTGACCAGTGTGTTCGTCTAGTTTATTGTATACTCTATTGTGTATTACTCGTAGGAAAAGCTTCAACATACGATTCATCAGGCTAATAATCCTATGGTCTTCACATTTCTTGGAGTTTCTCTTCTTTGGTGGTATAAACACCGATGTCAGCGAATCATTTGGTATTATGCCTGTTTCGTATATTTTGTTAAATATATCTTCCATTACTTCGATATGTTCGTCTAGTAATATCTTTATTATTTCAATTGGGATATTATCTTCCCCAACATTTAGAGCTATAGTGTCTTTTATTTATTAAGGGAGTTCTAAGAAGTTAAATGTACTATTATTAAATTATTTGTAGTACATTGACACTATTTAATATTTTATCTACTTAATGTCTTGTATTCTTGTATATAATATACTTACTCAAATATATCGACTTTCTTCGTATACTTTAATCTGTAACTCAAATTTTGTTAAAATTGTTTGATACTTTTCTTGTAAAATATTCTATGTAATTAGGCTGTTATCCTGTTAACAGTTTGGATGTAGAAATAATAATTTAACGTCTTGAGGGTTTTTAATGGTTTAAACATTCAGAAACCTCATAAATTACAGTATTCTTCTCCTGATAACAATATTCTTCTTTATATTTTAATTTTTTTATAAAAGAGGCAGTTTACATCTCTAATGTGTAAGAAGCACACCAAACACTTTATAACTTTTAAAACTTATATAACTTTTATAAAAGAGCGGGTAAGATAGGCTTGATCTCAAATTTTTATGACAATTTATGTTATTTAAGAGAATTGCTAGGAATATTCTTTTTAAACCGTCAAAAACTAGACTAATGATCAAAAAAATATCCTAATACTCGTAATATGGTACAGAATCGGACTCATATCGAAAAAGAAAAGGGGAATTATTTGTATAGAAATATTATTCTCGTAATTTTTTAGCCACATCCTGTATAATTTAACTGTAAATGTTGACCTAAATAGGGAACTTCATTAAACATATTATTCCACTAATTTTTATTTTATGCCTTTACATTTTTTAGTACTATTAGTGATTTTTATTTATTTATTACCAAGTTGCAGTAATCTATTATACACCATATTCCAGGTAAATCTTTTCTTTTCAATAACAATGACTTTATAAACATATAATTTTAATTAAAAAAATTACCTGTGGGTGATTGCATATGGTGATGGGTCGCTGATTCCATATTTATTTTCCACCCTAACTCTGAACTTGTAATCTCTGAACGGTTCCAAATTCCTAACTCCACACGTACAACTTCTGATACCGGATCTTACTGTGAACCAATCACCAGAAGGTAGTTCGCACATCTCCAATTGGTAAGTAACAGGCACTCGGGGACCTGAAGGAATGGACGGGTTCCAAGACAAAGTACAATGTCTGTCTGTCATTTGAGAAATAATAGGAGGATCTGATATGGGCATTGGAGCGCCGCTCTTCTTGTACTTGTCGAAATCCGTGTATTGGTCTGTGATTGGGCGCTTAGGTTTGGGTTCTAGTCCTACAAACAAGAAATGTTTAGCATTTAATCAATTTATTTATAATTTCAAACTGATTTGGGATTTATATGGACATATTTTAGGGAAATTGGCGTAAAAATGTCGAAATATGAGAAGAACATCGGGATGTAGTGTCCTATATAGTGTATCGAATAGTAGATAATCTACCGGTTTTATGATTTTGTTTTTAACATCGGCTACTAGCCTTCCAGGCTAAGCCAGAGCGCGTAAGTTCGATTTTCTGCACCAACAACGATATTTTAATTTCTAATACTAATACGAGCCGTCAGCGGGCTTCAAAGGGCACGTAAAGCCGTCGGTATCACTGGACTAGTGTGCAGCAAAACTGATTTCATAAACCAGGGTTAAAGATGCAATTGGCTCGCGAGCAATCCGAAAGAGTCTTCCCATAAAAAAGTCATACATTATTCATATTACAAGCACGGTAAATGTTTCATTTGTTTATACATCTATCGTATTTGTTTGTTTATCACCTGCATAGGGTCCGCGTTAACGATTAATAAGAGTTCTGGTAGGTCATGTAGAAAGCCAGGTAGTTACATAGATAGAGAGTTTAGATAAATATGTGTAATACAGTTTATGTTTAAGTTTAGTTTTTTAAAGTAAATCAATCACATGTGTTTTATTATTATTTGCAGATGATTTATTTGAAGTGATAAAATAGCTATTTATGAACTAAATAATATAATATAGGTACGGAATCGTCGTGATGTGCTTTATATTTTAGTTCTGTTTTAAGTTACCAGATGTTAGCACCTGGTAACGTACCACAAAGAAATTTTTTACGCTATGGGATTTACCGGACCTTCGTATCGGGTTATTAGTTTTATAGTGAACATTGTATACGTGTGTTGTTTTTTTTTATTAAAATCTATAAAAATGTCGTCTATTCTTTGTTTCAAGTTAAGAAAATAACATTACGCTTATGGAGATCAGCGTTGCCAAAACTCTCAGACACTCTCTTTTGCACGGATGTCCAAGATATTCCCTTTGCTTAATTTTTGAATTTTCATTTTCAATTAACATTTAACTGTAAAGTCAGAATAACTACTAAATAAAAGCCTTATTATCATTATGTAGTCAGAGAACGACATAAAATAGCTGACATACGCACATCATATTATTTTAAGTTGCAATAGTAATTAGATATACGCATTCGGTCAATATTTTCTACTGATTTCTATGATTCATGGCATATCGTATTCTCACCGAAAAAACAAATAAACTGTCGTTACTATAATTAAAATAAGATAAAATAAAATTATCTTTTGTAAATACTATTTATCTAATTAAAATCATTTTCCCTACTTTTCATCTCTTGTTTCGAATGGGCACTTTTGGTCAATTACGTAAAAAAACATTAATTTAATTCATGTTTGTGGAAACGAAAATACAAATTATACTACCCTAAATTGTGCTTGTGTGTGTCGTGGCAACGCCGCGTTGCTATCGTCCATAAGAAATACATGGCCCTATCTCCGCATGTTATTTTCTAAACGTGGAACGAGTTTAGAGACAAAAAATGATTAAATTGCTGCTAAACAAGCATCAAACTGCTTAGATACAAACTGAAAGTGAATCTGATAGTGATCCATTTGAAAAATTTCCTGATGGAGATCCTGAATTCAATCATAGTGTAGAAAGCAACAATTCTGAGTGTAATGTACCATTTTATGTTTATGACATTTTATTCTGGTCGGATAGGCCGCAATTGACGAAGTAAGTCTATAAACGTTAATCACATAAAAACTTTTATCAACCATAAACTTCGAGTTTTTATCGAAGTTAATTAATTCCTTTAGATTCATCTTCTGAAGATGATCTAGGGATCGAAAGTACTTAGGCAAGAATTAATTAAACTGTGCTCGATATTTGCCTTTTATATTAACAAAATTCTGATGGGAATGAATCCATAAATTTGAACGAAGAAATATCCAGTAATATAGAAACTGATAAATATGAATCGAAAAAACAAATTGCTAATAATAAAAGTGAATCTAATAATTTGATTCTCATTATCTTTATTTTTATTTGATGCTGAGGAGGATGTATGGATCAACATTCAGAAAACAGATCAATTAGATTTTGATAAATATCCTACAGATTCTAAAATAAATTTTCAGTGTGAAAATATGAGCTCATTGGATATTTTTTGTCTATTTCTCACAGATGAAATTTTGGAATTTTATTATATGAAAAGGGAATATTCTCCATTCGCTTAGCTCGGGCATATTTTGACAGATTCATTGTGGGAAACCTACAACAAAAAAATTCCTACTTCTCAGTATTAATAGCTCAAATATACTACTATTGCAGACTTCTTCCTTTAAAAAAAGAAGAATTATTCCAAATAGTGGAAGTGTATACTAAACCCATAACATTTCCCTGTATATTTAAAAATATAATAATTGAGTTGTTATAATTGAATATATTGTAGTAAATATTTGTATTATTCGCGTTATTTATTTTAGGTAATATAGTTTTATTGTTCCATCATTTTTGTTTAATTCTTTGTTAGTTCTATTTAGTTAATTAGTTAGTTCTATTTTGAATTTTATTATTAGAGATAGTCAAAGTTTTCCATTTGTTCTATCAGATAATGCGTTGGTAAGTTTTTCTTGAATAAATATAAATATGATAAATGTTCTTTAAAAGTTAATATTTTTAAAAGAGTAAGGACGCTGTTAAATTACGAGGTAATCAAACTGCACAAAGATTTATTCAAAACACCAACCATTTTTGTTTAATTATTTGCCCATTCGGCGTAGGTGGATCATTAAAATATATTTATAAAATTATGTAAATATGTTCTTAAGAACAAACACATTTCAGTTAACATAAAGTTCAGTTTGACATGGCGTCAAAAATTAAATAAAAGCTGTGATAAAAGTTACAGTAATTTAGTTTATATCGTTAAGTTGCTCCAAATGTAGGCAACCAACTTAAACTTTTTGTTAGGATTTAGCTGGAGTTTCTTGAGAATATTTTTAATAAACGTTTATTATTTTTCAGTTAATTTATTATTTTTTAAAAGTGATGATAATAATGCTGAATAAGCAATATTTCAAATGATATTTAATCACAAAACGTACTTAATATTGTGTTATTGTAAAATCCTCATAATAAAATACGTTAGATAAAAAAGGTAAAATCCCGGGCCGTCCAAAACTAGTTTCTAATAGGAATAATAGAAGATTATGATTTGTTTTAATTATATTTTTGATGATATTGGATATTTTTCATGAATGATATTTTTGAATTATAATATGAATATTATGATATTTTTTATCTAACCCACTTTATAACACAATAAAGTACGTCCTGTGATTAGATATCATTTGAAATATTGCTTATTCAGAATTATTATTATCGCTTTAAAAAATAATAATAAATTAACTGGAAAATGTTAAATATATTCTCAAGAAACACCAGCTAAATGCTAACAACAAGTTTAAGTTGTTTGCCTACATTTGGCGCAACCTAACGATATAAACTAAATTACCGTAACTTTTTTTATAAAACATATTTTTTATATATAATAGAAACTTACATTCTATATACATGCTATAAATTTCTAATTCATTGTATAAGTTTGCAAAATAGGTCGACGAAATACTCTAATGAAATGCGCTATGAGCACGTGTACTTGGTTGTATAATAATTTCCAGCCACTTCTAGTCTGTCAAAAAGTAACTAACTTCGTAAAAAAATAATTATTACTAAAATCACTAGACAGTTCTGACTGGCATTAGCGAACCGAGTATATCACTTTTAGTAAAAAGCATTGAGAATATATAAACATAACATAGCTATGGTAAGATGTAAAGAAAAACTATCGCAACCTATCAAATATGAAACTGGCATTAGACAAGGAGATTCGCTGAGCCCATTTAATCTGATAATGAGTGAAATCATAAAGAAAATGAAAGTGAAATGAAAAAAAAAAAGAAAAATAGAAATTGATTGAAATGTTTACTATGAGATATCAGTGTTAGATTCAAGGTAATTTCAAATAGAACGTCACAGAAATCGTTTATTTAAAAATATGTTTACTAGACCTATAGGTCTGGTATCATCCTAACAGTAGACAGTGTTACCAGATACAGGGATCTGGTAACGTCAGTAAAAGTTACTGATAAATTGAATGCCGTCGTGAACGTGTTTATAATATTGCTAATAAATATTATTAGCTGTAGTTACATATTTTCGTATGGAACAAATATAGTAATATAATTATCATACTTAAAAAATAAAGTAAACAGTCACATAAATATTTTAGAAAATCTACGTATACTTTTTTGTAGCAATCGTTTTTAAAAAAGACGTATAGCTTTCATATTTACAAATTTAACAGGCTGCACAGAACACAATCTAACTTGACTTACCCTCTTCGAATTTCAATGAGGCGTGGCAAATATCACTTCCATGCTCATTGGATATTTTACATGAATATTTCCCGAGATCATCTACATCAACTCCTGATATAGTCAGTCTGAGCAAACCAGCAGTGTCTTTATCCATTTTGATTCGCGTAGACGGGAATATTTTCTTGTCGTTATGGAACCACTCCACTGTTGGTTCTGGTATTCCGGACGCACATGCGGTGAATTTGGCAGTCATTGCTTTGTAGAGCTCTGTATCGCCAATACGTTTAAGGAAGACCGGTGCCTCGATTCTCTTCGCAGCTTTACTAAAAATACATTAAACGTATAGCCAAGAGAAGTCAACTAACATTCTTAAAACCTACATTTCTTTCACAACCTCAACCGTTGCAGTACAATCGTCTTGGCCCTCTTGGTTAACAGCAGTAGCCCTATAGATGCCAGCGTCAGTAGGTTGACAATCTAAAATATACAGGCAGCATAGATCACCATCTCGCTTGATGTGGTATTTGTCAGATTCTTTGATAGGTTCACCGTCTTTGGTCCACATGACTTCGGGTTGTGGGACGCCGGTAACTCTGCACGGTAGTTTGGCATCTCTATTTGGTAACTAAAAAAATAAATGAGTAGATAAAACTAACAAATATATCAACGGATGTATAAAATTATTCATACTTTATCTGTAGAGTTCATTTTACCTTGGCAAATATCGTTAGGTTAGATAATCCTTATACAAACTATTTGATAAAAATATTTTTTTGCTGTTTTGGCAGTAACGGCACGCTTTCGATAAATAACTTCGAAAACATCGTTCTTTTTGTCTTAATCCCTATGCGGTGTCGACATCTCTAATTAAATTTCCTCGTAAATTTCTATCTTAGGTCATACCCATATTAACTCCTTTTATGTACATGTTCTGCCTGAGCCTATCATCCTAGGTTTTTTTTTGGTCTTTTTTTAATCCTCCCAGAAACTTGCATTCTTCGTAGTTGGTAATTAACATCTCGAAGTTGAACATGTTGGAACTCCTCAAAATTTTTGCTTTTTTGTTGCTATCTCTAGACTTCCCTAATACACTCATTAGTAATTTTATCCTTTTTTGTCACTCCACTCATCCATCTAGGCATTTTCATTCCCGCCACATACGTTCGTTGTTCCTCTTTCTTTTTAACTGCTAAGATTCAGTTTCATATATCATAGCTGGCATATCATAGTTTTATGAAAATTTCCTTTTAGTATCATTGGAATCTTTCCGTTACATAACACACCAATCGCTTTCCCGTTACGCTGTAATACCGATCTTAGCTGCTTTTAAATTATTTTTTTTTACAATTATTTCATCATCCAAAGTTATCATTTTATTTTTAATAACTCCATCTTTAAACTTACATTTCCAATACTCTACTTTTTACTCTATTTTACTCTACTCTATCTTTTTGTCCTACTACACTCTTCCGGTTTTTTTCCAAATCCGTCTCAATATTACTCTGTAGAGAAATATACTATTTACTGTGTAGTTTCACTGTTATCTGATATAAAAACTAATAAGGATAAGTAAGGACATTTTTCATTTATTATCTAATATATGTCATGTGTGTTCTAGTTTCTCAATTATTTTATTATTCTATAACAGTGTTGTTGATTTCTTTTACTATCTCTTTCCATTTGATTGCTAAATTTTATCCATTTCCTCTTCTTTGATTTAGTTATTAAATCTTTAACTTTCTTTTTTGTTTTATATTTGTAGGTCATAGTTTTCGGTTGTTCTGTTATTTAAGTCTATTTTTCATTTATCTTTCTTTAGTTTTACTTGATTTTACTCGAAGCATCAAATTTCATCAAACTCAACACCAGGTAACATAATGGACTGGACTAGTCCAAGGACAGTTACATACATTTACAGTCACATACGATTTTTTACAAGTATAGTTACAGTTACATACGATTATAATTCGAGACACCGTCACTGGAAATCCAGATTAATAACTCCAAAAGGCCGACAATTTATTAAAATAAAAAGGAACAATCTTAGATATGTACTGTTTGACATTGAAAATACAACACTCAGTAAACCTTAATATATTTTAATATTTTTTTCGTAATAAAATGAGTACATGTAGTATATTAATGGATTAAAGTTTCCTCGCTAGAAATTGGAGTAGTCCATAACTTTAAAATTCGGTAATGAATTGGACCACTTCTTAACACTTTAACTGCCGGGTAAATTCAAAGTAAATTTTATACCGGGTCTTCTGGGTCAAAATATTATTTTTTTTCTTAATTACTCTATTTGTGTTTGTTTTTAGCAAAAATCATAAAATCAGTTGTAAAAATTGCTGTGTTCTCATATGATGCACATGGCCTGCGATTGTGAAATTGTTCCTAATGTCTAGTTGCAGGCCAGTAAGAGAGTGACACGTGTATTTCAGTTTGGTATTTACTTCCGATGGGTGCGTATCGTCGAATTTTCGATTGAAAAAAGTTAATATGGCGCACAATAACTAACAACTCCGTTAGTTAGAGTTGGAATTAGCAGCAGAAAAGACTGCCGGTGAATTAGATGAGTATTGATGATTTTTCTGATTATTCGCATTCGGATTTGGATCATACATATAATTTAGATACAGCGTTGATCGAGTGAATGCGACAATGAACCTGTAGCAAAAAAAATTGACAAAAGGGATGTTCACTAAAACTTTAAATAAAATTTTAGTTTGTATAATCCAATTTTTTTTACTATTAGATTGGCTTCACAAAAATGAATTTACGTTTGTTTTACATATGATAAATATATCATTTATATTGACACAAAACCTTGATTTGCGCATAGATAGAGTAAGCTGATCTGAAAATGGACTAATATATCAATATTTTTTTTGTAGGAGACGCAAAAATTCAATACTTTTGCAAGACCATACCGTATTCAGTCATTTCGAGTAATGGAGGAAGAATCAGACAGTTTTTTGACTCGAGATGATGATTTTTTGGCTATTCATAATCATGACTTAAAATCATCATCAAGATGATGATTTTAAGATACTGTAAGGCTAGAAGAAAAATGCAAACTGGGGACGTGTTTCCGGAAATTTTCAGATTTTAGATTGCCTTTTGAACTTTAACATTCCTGAACATTTGAAAAATGAAATGCTATTAAGAATAAACTGTTATTCTTTGAACTGTTTGTCTCTAAAGATGTTTTAAATATGATTGTCCTCGAAACAAATTGGTATGCAGAGCAAAAAACTCTTACTGGAATAGTAAATGAAACAATTACGAAAGAGCCACGTTTTATTTATTGGAAAGACACTAACTACACTGAAATGCGTACATTCATAACGCTCCTTCTTTGGATAAGACTAGACTTAAAGCCGTCATTAGCTGATTACTGGTGCAAAATTTCAATATATAAAAGTGATATTGCTAAATACATGCCCCGAAATCGGTTCAAATTGCTCTTGCGGATGTTTTATTTAGCAAACAATAACGAGTGTTCTGAAAATGACAGACTTCATAAAATTCCATATTTGGCCAATGAAATGAATGCTAATTTTTATCGATATATGATTAAAGGCTTAACTCTTCGTATTGATGAGACTTTGATCCCATTTAGAGGCAAATTATCTTTTCGACAGTATGTGAAAGGAAAACGTCATAAGTTTAAAATAAAGCTGTTTAAAATTTGTTTGTTAGAAGGCTATATCCATACAATTAAAATACATTATGGTAAAGAAAAAGATAATGGACAACCCGTTGCTGAAAGGGTAGTTATGGAAATGATTGAAATTTTAAAAACTAGATCCACTCATCTTATTGGAACGTTATGAAAAAACCGAAAAAATCTTCCCAAAGATGATGTAGAAGCCAAACTTAAGAAAAGGAAGATCATTGTCAAACAAAACAAACATGATACTGTAGTTACGAAATGGCATGACAAGAGTGACATCTTTCTTCTGTCTACAAAACATAGAGACGTTATAATGGAGAAAAAAATAACTAAAACATATACAACACAACTAACTCTTAGTACTTAATTTTCTAGTTAAAAAATACTACATTCTATGTTACTGTTGATTATATAATACGCTATATAATCATAAAAATAAAAAAAAGTTGATGTATATTTATTTTTATTTTATTATCCCTTATACCTTTAAAAATTAGAAAAATTTCAGGATATTTTTAAATGTCATAGTTCTACACCAGACTCAATGATATTTCTATTTAAATAAACGCTAAATGTGTACCAGACACGGAGGAAGAAACATTAAAATGACAACTCTAGTGTGGGACTTGGCATTATCTTTCTGAAAAATAGGGTTATCTAGTTCCTGTAAACAGGGCACTGTAACGGGTTTCAACCTATTTTGAAGTACTTGTCTTTTTTCTCGTCTTTGACCACATCGTTGACCCACAAACAGAATCTATTCTATTCTATTCTATTCTATTCTATTCTATTTATGATCGCACTACTACCGTTCTTGGCACCATTGAAGTCTCGTTTCTTTATAACTTTCGCTTAAAGCAATATGTAGGGTAGTCGGGAGTATTGAAGACCAAAAGACCTTGTTCTCAAGTAAATTGATCTCGTAGTGAGTTTTTGTAGCAAAAGCAGGTTGCTGTAGCAGTCATCCATTGATTGCTAATTTATCTAGCGGTACTAAAGCGGTCTATAACAGCATTTGCTCTTAGTAGGTGTTCTTCAGTTACTGGTTCTGCGAACTGCTCTCATCGTAAACTGATATGTTTACGATGTTGGTGTCTTTGTTTTTCTGTTAAAGTATTCTAACATCGCGTTATAGTAGACGCATTTCTACCAACTCTCGTATTTCTATTATCTCGAATTTCAAATACGCATAAGAGGTGAAAATTTTTGCGTTAACGAAATCGAAAAATTAAAAAAATAATATTTTGAAAATAGAATCAAGAATAAAACTCGCACTAAATGTCAAATTTTCAAAAATTAGGAATAATAAATAGTGATGTTTTTTTAATGACAATCAACAGCTCCTAGATTCCTTTTCAGATTGCTACGAAACTTTAATCATTTAACGCATTATATAAATTAAGATTATTACCAAAAAAAAATACGTTTACTGAGTATTTTATTTTTAATGTTAGGTTAGTATGTAGCAACGAGTAAAACAAGAAAGTAACAAATACACGGATTGGAGCAAATTTCGGAACCTTTTTGATGTCAGATAAAACAATAAAATAAGTGTTCTGGAAGTCCACATTAAAAACTGATATTAAACAAACAGCATGAATTACCTAATCAAGATAAAGAAAACATCGCATAAAAGCAAAGACCGATGTAAACATGATAAAGAACACGTGCTACTCAGGATTAAACTAGATTAAACCAAGCTAAACCAAGATTCAAAACTCTATTAAATAAGCATAATAATTACAGTGTTCATCGATCCCCGCGATTCAACCCTTCTATTCAATTAAATATTGTACGCTCAGTAAAGAGCAAGCTTCAGACTACAACCTCAATATTGGAAACAAGATTAAATTGTTTTGATCATTTTCATATCAATTTAAAATACCCTTAAAATCATTCACTGCTAAGAAAGTTCATCAAATAGTCCAAACGAAACTCAAACCTAAAAAGTTCTTTGGGTAAAACCTGATTACCGTCGAAATTCTGAAAGAACTCTTCAAAAATGCGTTTCAGATCTTAACACAGATATTCAATGCAATTATCGTACCAGGCATGCTTATGCAAGACGATAAGTCTTTGAACTCTATTACGCTACCTACTTCACAGAACGCCAAATTATGCCCAATCACTATTCCGGATTGTAAAATACTCCCAAATATTTAATGTACGACTAGAAAATCATCCTAGTAGCCTAGCAAAGAAGGCCTAGGCTCCTCATGGAGTCAGAAACAAACCAAAGATTAAAGCGACACAACCCTAGTGACTTTCCCAATAATATTTTACTGATGTACGTTTATGTAGATCCTAAGCTCACAAATATTTTTTTTTAATTTTATATCTGTATTAAATTGTGACACTTTTGTTTTGTATCACTTTAGTTATTGTAACCGATATAATTAATATAAAGCAATTATATTGTAATTATTAATTAATTCATAGAATGTAATTGTATTAACTACATAAAAATGTGTTGGTTTGTATTCTTCTTCAATGCCTCTTGCTCATACAACTATGCCTCCAATCTTGGTGATTCCTTGCAGATCTTTTCCAGGTTCTTACATCTAGCAAAATTTGCGCGTCCGCAACTACTTCATCCTCCCACCTTTTCCGTGGTCTTTCATTTGGTCTTACGCCCTGCATTATACTATCTAGCGCTCTTTTCGGCAATACTTCGTCTTCCGTTTTCACTACATAATCAGCCTATCGAAGTCTCTGAAGTTTAATGAATTCTGAGATCGGTGCCTCTTTAAACAATTGGTAGAGTTCAAGGTTGTACCTGGATTTCCATACTCTGTTTTCATTAATATCCAAATATCTTCCTTAGAACCTTACCTTCAAAGACTTCCAGCTTTCTTTTTGTGTTTTCTGTCTCATCCATGTCTCGCGTCTATAACATACTATTGATCTGATAATAGTTTTGTAGACCCCGATCTCCAGTGTGTATTTTTGGAGCACAACACATATGGGAGTGAAAAATAAGCGTTGCTTCTGTTTACTATTATTCTTTGTATTTCTGGTTCTTCTTTTCCGTCCGTGCTTAGTGCAACTCCCAGATATGTGAAACTTTTTACAGTTTCAATATCGTTTTCTACTTCAACTGTGCGTATGTTTCCCCTAGCCCTTGCCTATGCTAGCTTTTTTAACTTTTGCATATTTATTTTTAATTTATTTCCGGTTTCTTCTGCCTCTGTTTTTAATTGTGAATATGGTTCGGCAGTCCCTTTCGTTCTGCAAGACATAATCCGTTGGCGCCAGCATGTCTCCTTGCTTTATTCCTTTGACCATCGAAAAATTCTCAGTGAGCACGTTTTGTATTCTAACAGTTGTTGTTGGCGGGTCCATTGTTGCGTTTACTAGTCGGATGTATTTTTGGGGAAGGTTAAAACTATGCAATATTTGATTTAACTTGATGTCTATTAATTAAGCTGTAGGCCTGTTTAAAATATTTAAATATGCTGTAGACGTCAATGTCGTATTCCTAGGATTTATTTAGAATTTGTTTTACTATGAACAGCTGGTCAGTTGTAGATCTTCCTTGTCGAAAACCGGTTTGATATTCCCCGAAAATAAATTCAGTTAATTGTTGGAGTCGTTTGTTAAGTATGTAGTAAAAACTTTGTACTCTATGCACAAGGGGTATGTACTCTATGCACATAAACTAAAATGCGATAACTTTCGCATTTTAGTTTATGTCGCTAGGGATCTTTTCATCATTCCAAATCTTGTTTATAAGCATATGCGTTTGTCCGACTAGATGCTCTCCACCTAATTTATATAGTTCAGATAGGATGTTGCCAATTCTGGATGCCTTGTTATTCTTTTGTGCTTATATTGCTTGTTTTACCATTTCCAACATCGGAAATTCTATATTTTTGATGTCTCCATCAATTTGATGAATGTCCATATGCTCTTCATTTTCTTAAGTCCCTAAAAGAGTTTGAAAAGAATTTCCAGATTTATTTTATTTCTTTTGGATTGATAGTTATCTATCTTTCTTGAGTTCTGCATATATTTGTTCGGGGTTTGTACCCTTCTCTTAAATTGCGTAGGCATTTATACGCTTCTCGTATATCATTGCTTTGAAAATTTCCTCCGATCTTCTGTATATTATCGCTTTCGTATTTTCTGTTCTCTGTTCGTCATATTTTATCGGCCCTCAGTCTTGTATCTTCGTAGATTGCTCTCATTTCTCTGGTTCTTCTTTCTATGTACTTCTTATGTTCTTGATTTCTTTTCAACAATTGAATCATTCTCTTTTTTTATTCGTACCTATGATCTTTTTTGAAGCGTCATTTACGTTTGTTTTGATTTCTTCTTAATGTTCTTCAGTGCCTAGACGGCCTTAATTTGTCAGTGTTTGTGTTATTTCTGTCTTATAATTCTGTTTGATATCTTGTCTCAGTTTATGTATTTCTATTTGTTTCTGTTTGTCCCTGATGTTTCTCTGAATTCTGCATCTATATTTTATATATTTGTGTTATATTCACAACCAGTTGAAATAAGATAAAACAGATCTTTGTTAAATCTGCTCAAATATTGAAAATACTTACTTGTTGAAGATCAGTGAATCTCTGGGTAAATGATGGAGCCATGAATACTTTTCTTACTGTAGCTTTTCCTTGTGTTGTATCCGCACCTAATGGATTGACTATCTTGACTCCATATACACCAGCATCTGATGGTACAGCTTTATCGATTTTTAAACCAACCTAAAAATAAAATTTTTTGTAAATATATGATAAGAGGAAGGATAGATGCGTAAAACAAAGAAAGGCAGATCAACGAAAAAATAAAGAATATATATAAATAATATATATATATATATATATATATATATATATTTTTATATAATATATATATATATATATATATATATATATATATATATATATATATATATATATATATCGGAAAAGGAGTACGACCGTCAATCCAATATAAATTAAGGATCACTCAGACGAGTGGTGGGTTCTTTTATCGGTCAAAAGGTGGAGAAAAAAGACAAAGTTGATGGCTACTTTATCTATTTATTAAAGACGTTTCGCTTTCATGTTCAGAAAGCATCATCAGTTCATCTAAAAAGAACAATGTAAAAAAGGTATCTCACCTTGTAGTTCTGTCATATTTTTATGACCTCAAGGTTGGCTGTCTTTTCACGTTGGTTGGCGCCGTTTGCTTCAATCTAACGCCATTTTACCGGCAGCAGTCGTGAAGCCTACAGCGGTGATTTCATTATACACTTCATTATTAAATTTTCAATATTAATCACTTTAATAATGCTATCTAAGGTTAAAATCCAATCATAAATATTAATATATCGTTGGAAGTGCATCTATGATATTCTTAGTTCTTCAATCACTATTTATCGCTAACTGTCGTTAGTTTAATTGATTGTCTATACAATATTATCGTATAATGTCCATTTACTTGAGCTTCTTTACATTTTTAATATCTTTGACTGCTACATACCTTTTTAAGGTAACACATGTAACAACTTTTCCATGCTTGTGTGGTTTTTTTTCATATTGTTCTTTTTAGATGAACTGATGATGCTTTCTGAATATGAAAGCGAAACGTCTTCAATAAATAGATAAAGTAGCCATCAACTTTGTCTTTTTTCTCCACCTTTTGACCTTTTGCGATGAGAACTAAGAAATATATTGGGAAACACACCAACAATTGTAAATATAAAACATAGTACGATACTTACGCGTCTGCCATCACATGTCATCAGAACTCTTTCAGACGGCAAAAGTGGTTCTCCGTCTTTTGTCCATTCAGCACTAGGTATGGGATTTCCTGTAAACGGAGCTTCAATTACCAGAGGTTGACCTTCATCGGTGATCACATCTTTAATGGAATGTAGGAACAGAGCTCTCTCTTCTGGTTCTCCTGGTTTAGCAGCTTCTTTTACAGTTAGAGCAGCTGAAGTGTCAGCTTCTCCGGCTTCGTTCGAGGCTACGGCTTTGTATGTAAGAGCGTCACGAGCGATGTCTGCGCAGTCTAGGAAAAGAGCGCTAGAACCGTCAGGTTGTTCGATAATTTTAATGTGTTTTTTGTCAGAAATAACCTCTGCACCATTTCGGAACCTTAAATATGTGTAAGAATAATATTAACAATGGTATATAAGAATAACGTAGGAACTTATTTTGATACGTTTTATTCGTTAATAATTTATTTAAGAATATTTACATACGACTACGGCTGTAAGATGAATTACATATACTAAACATAGATAACATTACATTACACATACTGGACAACAGATAAATTCTATTGGATATCATAAAATTGATAACGTAAAAAATAAAACTAAACTAAAATTACAGGTAGAAACAAGGCAATCCATTAAAAATATCGCCACGAACAAAGTCTAATAGTATTAAAAAAACCAATAAGATGCACACTTAAGAACAAGTGATTATCGTAAACTGACACAATATGGAAAAGCAAACACCTGCAAATAAAAACAAAAACACGCATACATAAATCTGAAATCCGGCCTACCATCACAAATACAAGAGCTGAAACTACTGAAACAACAGCAATATTGATGGACAAAACAAGGAGTAATGGGATCAAAAATATGTGCAGGGTAGATTTTATAAATGATGGGTGCAAGATAGAAAAACAATGTAACAAGTACATTAATAGATTGATACAAGGCGGAATAATTAGAAAGAATAGCCCAAGACAAATCAATAATCCCAAGAACAAGCACGCATCATCCTAGAAAGAGATATAATGAGATTTTTCGACCAGCATGCATAAAAATCAATCAGCGTTAGAAAAGTGAAGAAGGCAAATATTTAGAATAAGAATAGAGATAAATAGTATCAAAATATTACACATATAATAAAGCAAGTAGTTGTAGCGAGTGATGAGGAGGACATAGACTACATGTTCAGAAAATTAAAGACAGAATACGAAAAGTGGGGTCTTAGAAGGAAAAGCATGAATAATAGAACATAGATAAAGAATTGAAGTAGTTGGAATAAATTATCTAAGGACAGCGTGTAATAAATCCAAAAAAGACCATATGAGAAATGAAGGAAGAGACATACATACTATATTTCACTATAGACAGGCTTAAAACTAAATAACCTAGTATGGTGTGGCCACGTAAATCGAATGGACAAAGGCGAAGGCAAGAAATATATTATAGAATAGAATACAGTATTCTTTATTAATCCCATCAGAGCACATTGTGATATAGGACAAGTCATATAGTACATAAAGCATGATCAACAAGTTATAATATATATATATATATATATATATATATATATATATATATATATATAATATATATATATATATATATATGAATAAACTCAGGCATTCATCATATGAAAGTTTTTCTTCCTTACATCAAAGGTGTTACTGACCAATCGACAAAATTTTTAAACCAAGAGGAACAAAGACAATATTTACCCCCAAGAAAAACTTTCATCTCTTGTCCGATCAATTTAAGACAAAATTCCAAATCAGTTTATGAAATCCTGTGTACAGACTGCCCCCGATCCTATATAGGTCAAACAAATCGAAGAATTCAAAATAGGATTTATGAACATTCCATTTCTGTTCGCAATTTAGATTTAATTTCAGCTCTAGATCAACACCATTTTCATACAGGTCACAAAAAAAGAAATCATAGCCTCCATCTGCTTCTATAAACCAAACACTATCCGAGAAGCTATAGAAATTGAAAAAAGCCCAATTGTCTTAATAAATAAATGACGGCATCCGGTTACCTTCGAAAGCCTGTTGGGTTTAAGGAATTAATTTTTGAAATAGTATTAATACGTATATATTCCAATAGAATAAGAGATAACGTTTAACAAAAACAGGCAATATACTTAAATAAAAGAAGAAATAGATTTTCTGTTGGTGAATCGATTATATCTAGTTTCAACCATTTGTTAAAAGTTGTTTTTTTATGATGACAGGTTCATAAACGTATTAGTAATAACAATGATATCGATTTAATTACTCTAAAGTAATTAAAAGGACTTAATTAACTTTAAAAATAAACTTCATAAATATAAGGTATCATGTTTTCTTTACCAAGAAATTGTGGGTGCTGGAAAACCTTCGGCTTTAACTTCCAACTTAACGGGAAATCCTTCAACGACCGTCTGAGGGAAAAGTCTTTGGATGAATTCAGGTTTGATTGGTTTCTTCTCCACTTCGACCTTAGCATCACCAACTGCCTCTCCCAATTTATTGGTCACTAACAGTTTGTAATTGCCGGCGGTTTCTGGTTTCATGATGTCTACAACGAGAGCTATCCTACCATCAGGATAATTCTCGAACCTTACGTTAGAAGAAGCACGGACTGGGACTCCGTCTTTCAACCATTTAATTTCTGGAGGTGGATAGGCTTCTACTTTGGCTTCTAGGCGGAGACTTTCGCCAAGAGGTACTTGCATGTCCTTGAAGCATTTGAGGAACTTCGGCCTCTTGGGTTTGGCTTAAAACATACGAATAGATTAAGTTAAAATCTCTGTATAATACTTTTAATACTTATCTATTAAGAACAATTGTAAGTAGAATGGATTGTGGAATTTATATTGGAATAACGCTGGGTGGTATATCAGCCATTTCATAAATCATTAATGTCAATTCATTAAATTTATTATTTGTTATTGTAACTATAAATGTTGTCTATGAACATCTTATTATATATTATATATTACATATTATATATTATATATTATAAGAAAATTGTAATGAAATATTATTTATCTATTCTTATAGTGAAAGTGGCTAAAATACTAAATTAAGATATTATTATTGCAGAGATTATTCAAATTAGGTATTTTTGTAAGTTTCTGTCTATTTATGGAGGACAAAAACTTTAATATATCTTTTTAAGATCAATAAATAATAAGGAATAATTAAATTATTTTTAACTTTTAAAGTGACTTCTAACTTTAACTTTAAAACTGAGTAAACAGTAGCAGAAAAGTAATAGATGACTAATGAAATTTTGGAACTCATAGAGAAAAAAAGAATGTATTGTACATATAGAAATATTAAATCAGAATAGAGAAGCAAAACAATAATAGTACAAAAGTAGCAAAAAATGATAATTTTAATCTTTATAATAGATGCAAGGCATTCTTCCCACCTCATGGATGTCAGAAGCTACCTAGGTCCAAGCATAAAATATGTAGGATAGACATGTAGGAAAGAAGGATAAACATATGAAACAAGACAGAATTAATATTGACAATCTCCGCATTGAAACCGTTGTGAGAGAGTATAGGAGATAAATAATTGAGGACAAAGAGAACCTGGAAGCCGCGGAAAATGTGGAGGAATTGTGGACAAAATTTAGAAACATAATAACTGAGAGGGCATCGAAAATATTAGGGAAAACCAAACCAGTTAGACAAAACTGATTTGACAAGAAGTGCCAAGAAACAACAGATAAAAAATAGAGCGTACTAAAAAAATAGACTAAAAAGGGAAGTAGAAAGATTACATAGAAGAAAAAATGCAATTTGGAGAAAAGCAGTTAGAAAACATAGAATGGCTAAGAAATCACAACGAAACTCGAAAGTTCTACAGAAATGTAAACAAAATAAGTAAAGAGTTTAAGCCAAGAATAAAGAGCTGTAAAAATGAAAAAGGAAATATCCTAAGTGATACGGCCTCAATCTTAAACCGATAGGTTGAATTTTTCAACGCAAAATTTAACGGCCATTGGCATAGTTGGAAAATATTAGGGTGGATTTACTCAAAAAAAATCAACATTCGGCCAGATTCATTCAATAAGACAGATCCTCGAGAAAACATTAGAATTTAACATGGAAACCCATTACCTATTCATCGACATTAAGGTTGCATACGACAGTGTCAAGAGAACAGTACTATCCCAATCAATGCGTGAGTTTGGTATACCAGAAAAACTTCCGATTAACGAGAATGACAATCTCTTAAAAGTCAGTGTTAGCATACAGGGAAAAATTCTTGATCCTTTGAGATCAAGGATGGACTCAGACAAGGGGATGCCCTGGCTTGTCTACTATTTAACATTACCTTTGAAAAGGCAGTCAGAGACACACGAATTAGAGACAGCGGTACTATTTACAATAGATTGATACAAATCTTAGCATACGCTGATGAAATTGACATAATAGGGCGCAGCAAGCAAGATGTTGAGCAATATTTCTCAGAATAGGAAATGGCGGTGAAACAGGTCGGTCTAGTCATCAAGGAAGACAAAACTAAGTAAATATTGGTAACTAAGTATCCTATATCAAATGAGGAACGAAAAACAGTATTTAGAAGTCATATCATTGAATGTGTTGACAGCTTCACATACCTTGGCTCGCTAGTGACTAGTACCAATAAAACAAGCGAAGGGCATACTATGGACTCCAAAAACAATTCCACTCAAGAAATATCCAAACAAAACTAAAATTATTATATACAAAATACTGTTAAGATAGGTCCTCACATAAGGGACGGAAACATGGAGGTCGCAGAAGGATGAAAGATTTCTGGTAATATTCGAGAGTAAAACACTACGCATACTTGGAGATATAAACGATCAAGGGCAGTGGCGCAAAATACTTCGAATTATACCAAATTTTTAATAAACCAGAATGTTCATTAAAACATAGCGACTTATAGGAACCGGACACATAATACCAATGTCTAACATGATTGCTAAAAAGCTAACGACAGGAACACGTATAGGAAAAAGAAATAGAGGCCCACCGCGAATTAGGTGATTAGATGAAGTTGAGACCGACTTACTGATACTAGAGATAAGAAGATGGCAACACGTTGCTAGAAACCAAATAAAATAGCGACTAATCTTCGAGAAGGCTAGGATCCACAGAGGATTGTCGAGCCAAATATGATGGTGAAGATTAGATAATCAGGGAATTAACGGGTACGAACATAATAAAACAGAGTAACATATTGTTGGAGAGAAACGGGAAATATGACATCAAATACAAATTAAAAAAAAGCAATAGTATATTCAAAAATTTTTTATAGAAGGAAAACCAGAAATAAAAGCACTATTTAGCACTGATACTGACAACTGTCCAGGTATATCAAAAAGGAAGCAAGCAATTAAACTAACATAAAACAACAAGGCGATAGGCCAAAATCCTAAGGATTGGCTAATACTTTTATTGCACTGTCAATAATTTAAATACAATAGTCAAGATCACAGAACAATCCGTTTAACGAGTCATATAATCAAAATATGCTGCTGAAAGCAACTCCGGGTACAATAATGGATATCCTTGCGCCATCCAAAGAATCTAATAGAGCCATCATCCGAAAAAAGCCGAAAATACTGCAGAAATTACAGGGAAAGAAATTGGTGTAATATGTTTTGTAGCACGGTTTTATGGATGAGTAATAAAACACCGAATTGGAAAACAAGTTAAATAACGTAGGCCGACATGACTTTTGGTGTTTTGAGTTTGACATGTGTCCTTAGCTAAGACGGGTACGCTGATTCTGAATATGAATTCGGTTTAAGCCGAATTTTTCACAAAATTAAAAAACCTTGTGAGATATTATATACTAGCGTAAACAAGTACCTAATTGATATTTCGTTGTACCACAGAATAATAAACAATAAAAATGCCCACTCTCAGATGCCACGTTTGAAGATTTTCAGCACGCGATCGCCATGTTCTAGAAGGAAACAGAGACTCGAATTGACAAATTTGTGACAAGCTATGACAGAACTGTAATTTAAATTTTTAGAAATTGATAATTTAATACATTTGAAATAATTTAATCCATTCTCCAACTAAAAGTACTAATAAAATAGTGCATATTATGTCTGTAGTTGCCGTAAATAAATTAAACCGAGTTAATTTGTCTATGCACACACCAGATAAATTTTCACTGAACAGCACTGGTTCTCTTTAAAACATGGCGGAACGTCTGCGCGAACGAGATTCACGTACTTAATTTTCCATGGAGAGTGGGCATTCTGATTGTTTATTATTCTGTGGTTGTACCTTGACAAAAAAATGTGCAACGTGATACGCTAGTTGATCCAAACTTAGTTCTTTTGCCTCCTCTTCACATAAAGTTAGGATTGATGAAGCAGTTTGCCAAAGCTTTAGATAACCAAAGGTGACTGCTCTAAATATCTACGACAAATTTTCTGCACTTTCTGAAGATAAACTCAAAGGAGGAATTTTTGTAGGCCCTCAAATTCGAACCTCAAAATCGGACAGATTGTTCCAGAATTAAATGATCCAGGATGAATCTGAAGCATGGAGTTCTTTCGTAGAAGTCATAGACGATTTGCTTGGAAGCAACAAGTCTCCAAACAACAAAGAAATTGTAGCCAACATGGTCGAAAATTATAAAAAACTGGGATGCAATATGAGCGTCAAATTTTATTCTGGATTCCTACGATGACTATTTTCCCGAAAATTGTAGAACTGTCAGCGAGGAGCAGGGAGAGAGGTTCCATCAAGATATAAAGAAGATGAAGAGACGTTACGAAGGAAGATGGAATATAAGAATAATGGCTGATTACTGCTGGATATTGAAGAGAGACTTGATCATAAAAATCCATAAAAAGAAGACCACAAAACGTAGTTTTCATAGAAAAAGAGAACTGTTATCCAAAAAACAAAATATTGTCTAACGTAGGTTATACTAAGTTATTTTTTTAAGAACTCAATTTTGAAGTGTAATTTTGTATTAAATAAAGTTCCAATAAATATTTTCTCAGTATTTTGTCAGTTTCTATGAAAAATTTCAAACACACTTTTCTTGAAAACCTAACGCGATGGAACGAAACTAAGTACAGATTCGTAATCAGTACATCCCATTTACTATAGGACACCTATTAAACTTAAAACACTTTGTCATGAAAAAAAAAAAAAAATGCAGGTCTGTATAATCAGAAAATTAAAACGAGTTCAGAGCTAGTTGTTTTTGTATAGACGGGTTATTCATTATTAAATAGCTTATAGAGAAACAGAAAGAAAGTGAACTTTTCATTTAACCTTTGTCGACATTGAGAAAGCCTACGGTAGCGTACCATTAAATAAGTGGTGGTTGTGCATAAAAAAAGTGGCATCAATAAAAGTAACATTAAAACTGTAGTAGCCCTATACTCAGGTTGTACCAGCGCAGTTAAAGTTGTAACGGAAATATTTTGCCTACCACAGGGGCCATTAATACAAGGGGATAGAAAATTGGCGGAAGAAACTAAAGGGGTTGAGATAAGGCAAGCAAAATAATCGCTACTTGTGCGAACGGACACTCAGGGTTTCGTAGGAGAGCTGGGGTTGTGGATAAGTAAAATGGGGGTTAGAATGGGGCAACTACAACAAAAAGAAATAAAGGGCTTTTGGGATAAACAGAATAAAAATAAACAAGAAAACACCTCAAGAAATTTGATTATAGGGCGCCACTTGAGGTGCCTAATTATGCCTATTACAACCACTAGTTGTAACTAGGGAAATAATT